CACAATACAGTCTTTATGAGCGCAAGAGTTATACGAAAACTAGCAAAAGCGTAACATTATATCCCATTATGTCTATTCGTGAACTCAACATTGCTACAAATTGCTAATGAATGACAGATTTGTGAAATATATAATGTGATTAAATGTTATAAATTAGGATAGATTCCACTTAGCCCATAAAATCAACACAATATCAGAGGAAATCTTTATAATTTATTGATCAGACCAATTTCATACTTCCTTCATATTTCATAACTTCAAAGTTCGACTTTTTCAAAAAGGAAAGAAGAAAAAAACCCATAACGTGTTTTACTCGTCAAAACTACGATTGCTCCAAAAAAACACCTATAATCAGATGGTAAGTTCACAAATACTACGCAACAGTTGACACGGGACTTCTATCAAACACCTGGTGCCTACACTAAAATTCTTTTGTATAAAAGTATTTATTCACAATTTCCGGCTCCAAGAACACTGTCAGTAAACATAAGAGACACACCCACATCGAGAACGAGCAGCAATCAACTAAATGTGGCTAAAAATCACTTCAAAAAAAACACGCGAAACACTACAAAAAAAAAAAAAGGCATGGATTTTTTCAGTAAACAATCTGCATTGCTAAAATAGCTTCAAAAAAGAACTTACACTGGAAACCCTTCGACGGTATCTTCTTCAAACACCTCGGGGGCACCATTGTCGACTTGGTTGTGAGCGAATTGCGAGCACCCCTCTTTTAACTCTTTCACCAATAATGCGAAAGGCAAAAGGAAAAGGAGTGCAGAAAAAGATACGGGTTCAAATTAAATAATGAATAGTACGTCTGTCGACGTGTCTTAGTTTGTTCAAGGGTAATATTGACATTTCATTATAAAACAATATCACCCGTATTTTGACCCGGATCCAAATCCTACTGTTCTTCGTACACTATTTGTTTGGATAAAATTGGCCCAATGGCAGTGGCCCATTTTTTTGTTGACCAACCACATTGACAATGACCGGTTTATATCGCACTATTTTACGATTCTATATACTGTAAAATCTCTATATATTAATAATCTCGATTAAATAATAGTTTTTTCTGATCATTTTACTTTAATTTAAATACAATTAATATTTTTAAAGAAAAAAAAACCCAACAATATTGCATGTTTGCGGTAGTTGATTTGTTCTATTATATACCACGACGAAGTTCAGTACTAGATAGTATATTAAATGTATATATGTATTTCTCTTACACACGTTATATATACACCGACGTATTTACGTATATAATTGTTTGCAAATCTACGATCATATGCTATCTAGTTAACTTTAATATGTGCAGCATTCAAGATCGACTCATGGTATAGTTGCATCGTTGCAGAAGTCGAGAGTCATGCATTACATTTGTTGGACCGAATTAATCCCAAAATCAAAATCCGACCGGTCAGATAATTTGTCACTTTGGGAGGGCCTTAAAAACTAAAATAAAGTTTTATTTTTATAAAATAATATTTTTTACTACCCAATTTTATTTTATTTTTTAAAAAATAAATTAATAAGAATATTAATTATTATTATTTGAAGGTTTCAAGAAAAAAAGGTATCGAAGGCGGCCAAGATCCTTATTTCGAGTGGCATAAGCAGACAATTTCGGAAGCAATGTTAAAAAGTGCTATAGACAAATTAGCATCTTTGTTCTTACATACTTAGAATCGTGCTTCTGCAATCTTAAAATGCATAATAAATAACTATAAAAACAGAGGTCCCCTCATAAAATTCCATTGAATAATATTTAACAAACATTTATTACAAAAATGAATGCAGCATTTTCTTGTGCAGCAAACACTTGCATCAAAGCAAGAAACAGTACATTCTTGTCAAAGAAGAAGCAACGAAGAACAAGTCCGAGAGCCGAAGTAACCGTAGCTATTACGAATAAAACGAAAGAGAGTTCTTCTCCGACACAACTATCGCTTCATGGGATTTCTTGCACTGATTTGTTCGTACACGAAATAGTCCAACGACAACAGTCGCAGAAGATCGGCTCGTCGGATTTCGATATCCGTACGACGAGGCCTAATTTCCATCCTATGTTTCTTGACGAAGCGTACGAAAGATGCAGGGATATTTGTGCTGAATATGCAAAGACATTCTACTTAGGTTATTATTATTATTATTATTAATCTTCCAATTTTTTTTTATTTTTTTTTTTCTAATTATTAGCAGAAGTTGACGTTTTTTTCGTTAAAATTCGAACATGAATATTGCAGGAACACTGTTGATGACTGAGGAAAGACAGAAAGCAATATGGGCTATTTATGGTATAACTTTATAATTCTTGAATGTTTCCTAATTTGCCTATGTTTAAGTACACTTGGATAATGTTTTATTTATTTATTTATTTTTGTTTGTTTCGATTCGATGTAGTGTGGTGCAGGAGAACAGATGAACTAGTTGACGGTCCAAACGCGGCCCACCACAGCTCGTCCGTTCTAGAAAGATGGGACGAGAGATTAGACGATATCTTCAATGGCCGCCCTTACGATATGCTCGACGCTGCACTTACTGATACCGTCCACAACTTCCCTTTAGACATTAAGGTCTAAAAACTAACTACTTTTTTTCCCGTTTTGTCCTCAAGTTTTCGATTTTTTAGTACTTATGTAGTAATTTTTTTTTTTTTTTTTTTATTATTATAGCCATTCAAGGACATGATAGAAGGGATGAGAATGGACACGAGAAAGAATCGATACGCAAACTTTGAAGAGCTTTATTTGTACTGCTACTATGTGGCTGGAACTGTTGGCCTAATGAGTGTTCCTGTAATGGGAATTGCACCCGAATCGTCGGTTTCAGCTCAAACGATATACGATTCAGCGCTTTATCTAGGAATCGGAAATCAATTGACGAACATTCTAAGAGATGTTGGTGAAGAGTAAGTTTTTTATTCTATTCTTATAAATCAAGATTTTGATTTTTTTTAGTACATATATGATATATCCTATGAATGAATATGTTTTGTTTGAATATAAACAGTGCATCAAGAGGGAGAGTATACCTGCCGCAAGACGAACTGACGAAATTCGGGCTGTGCGATAAAGACGTGTTCTCAAGGAAAGTGAGTAATGATTGGAGAGAATTTATGAAAGAGCAGATTAGAAGAGCACGGTTCTATTTTGATCTCGCCGAACAAGGGGCGACTCAGCTTCACAAAGCTAGCCGTTGGCCGGTAAATTAAACGCATATGCCTTCCAATCATTCAATCCAAATGAAGCCTAAAACGAGAATTGGATTAAGAAATATAATGTTTCTTATGCTTGCGTTTTGCAGGTATGGTCATCGTTGATGTTGTACAGAATGATCCTGGATTCGATCGAAAGCAACGACTACGATAACTTGACGAAGAGGGCGTACGTTGGAAGAACCAAGAAACTCATGGCGTTGCCCGTTGCATACACTAGATCCCTATCAAATCCGACTGTAGTTTTTCCGTAGCAATCTTGTTTAAGGCCTCGTTTGGTTGCCAAGATAAGATTAACCAAGATAAAATTAAATAATCTATTGAAACTCAATTGTACTGTTTGACCTTGGAAGATCCAATAAAAAACATTAAAAGGCAAGACAAGGGATGATATATAACATAATCATGACTAATCTCTCCGACCAAACGAAGCCTTAATATATATAACTTAGATAATGAAAGTAGTGCATGCATAAAACAAAAATGAATAACAACCTAGCTATAACTCAAAACCCCCCTAGTAATGTTTATTTACGAAAAAAATTCTTCATTTTTTCATCATTGCATCTATCCCCTGTAATTTGTAGGTTTCTTATACTAATACATGTTTATAAGGGGTGAAAATAAGAAATTTACAAACTACAGGGGTTGCATGTAATTTTTAAAAAAGAAGGGTTTTTTTATAATTACACTTTAACTCAGGTGGAGATTGTAATTTACCCTTTAGGTTATGATTATTTGATCAGCTAGTTTAGTGGGCTTTTTGTTAGGGCCTTCTAATAAATACAAAAAAAAAACATGTACAAGTGATGAAAGATCGCATACATACATTATAGTATATATATACAATGTTAGGGAAATATGAGCCCAATGTTTTTTTTCTAATTATTAATTGCATTTTATAATTATATAATTATTTATTAAGTGGTGGTGGATTAGTTGCCTAAACATTTGTTAATCGGTCAATTCGTGAACCAACATCATCTGTTCTAGAACGGCTTGCTTTTACCGCCGTTTAATTTATTGATGAATTATTATTATATCATAAAATTGATCCATCACGTTGAATCGGTTATTGAGATGCTACACTAAACTCATGAAACCCGAAAACCCGAAACCCGAAACATCGGTTGCAAATATTCTTTGATTTAATTTGAACTGATTTAGGTAAATGTTAATTCATAATCAAAGGGAGTTTA